TCCTTGTCTTCTGTATCTCAGTTGACTAAGCTCTGGCCATGACCCATTGTTCATTAGTTTAACCCTTTCAGGGTCGCCAGGCTCTCTCCGAGACTTGTTCTCAGGGTAGCCAAATTTAAAAAAAAAAAAAAATTTCTTATGAAAAGATAGAGAATCTTTTTCCGATCATAATGACACCAAAAGTATGAAATTTGATGGAAAACTTACAGAATTATGCTCTCGCGAAGTTAGCGGTCTCGATGTTTATGCATCGACGATTTTGCCCACTTTGAGCCCTATTTTCGGCCAATTCCAGTGTACTAGTCGACAAAAATCATAACTATTTCGCTAGAACTCCATTTTTTCTATCGAATGAGTGCAAGAAACCACCCATTTACCAATTTCAGCTATCCAGTGAAGTGGTCAGAATTTAGCAATTTTGCCAATTTCACACAAATTTCAAAAGATGCCAATTTCCAAATAGGGTCCAGAATAAACAAGAAAGACGTTCCTGGCACTAAAATAACATTTCCTCTGTTCATTAGTCATGTCCCCAGGCCCCTCTTACATTCTTTTGCTTTCCACTTCGAATTTTTATTCTCACAAAAAATAAAAGATTTACTGTTATGCAAACTGCTGCATTAGTGTAGAAATGGTATAAATAATATCAGCACACTTGTTGAAGAATATTAGACTCGCCAGTTGATGTATGTTGGACGCATAGCATGATTTGTTTATTTTTGAACTTTGGCAAAAATCGAAGATTTCTGCTACTTTGAGCTCAATTTCAAGGTACTTTTCATTGTAAAACCAGTCAAAATCGTCTCAATTTCTGTAATATGTCTTCCATTCTATAAAATGAGACCAGGAAAACTAGAATACCATAATAAATACCATACGAAAATACAGTGCAAAGTCGCTGTTTTAAACCAAAAACACTGTCAAAGTTTTTTTCCTCATTACGCACTGTGTGCTGCAGGATTTTTTTTTATACTGCACACACTGACCACATAGACCCATTCTTTCATATATAGGCCTACCAGCTTTCTCTCACTAGATTTGAGGGCGCTAGAATTTAGGCATACTAGTACATCAAAAACCCTGGTCCGAAACCCTGAAAGGGTTAAGCTAGTCTAGTGTAATAGGTTTGTAGAAAACAGTTTAAATACAATATACTTACCATACATGTATACAGTACATATACTGCATACAAATTTCAAAGGGCAGTACTTCTTAATTAAACAAGAGATCTTCAAATTTGGTTCCTCTTGCCGAGGTAGGAAAATTCATAGAAAAGTGAAAATATGGGAAGTACAGTGCCTGCACTCTGAAGGAGGGGTGTTAATGTTGCAGTTTAAAAACTAGTGTAAAGCACCCTTCTGGCAAGACAGTGATGGAGTGAATGATGGTGAAAGCTTTTCTTTTTCGGGCCACCCTGCCTTTGTGGGAATCGGCCAGTGTGATAATAAAAAATAAAAAAAATATATTTTTTTTTTTGTTTTTCAAATTACTTCAAAGAAGTAACCATATTTCTAGTAGCTTCTCAATAAATCTTTACTGGTAATATTGTGAAACTTTAGAGGTATGCCCCACATTAAATGATTTTATAGCTACAAGTTCACTTGTGTCAAAGCTCAAATGATGTGTGACATTTATAGCTGCTGTAATGTGTTACTTTTGCCAGTTATTAAATCATCTGCTGGTCTCTCAAAGTGGGTTACCATAGTTTTAAGGGTTGCATGAATGTGTCTATGGATATTATAGTATGTACATACTGCATTTATATTTCTCAGCGTGATCTTTAGTTATATATTGAGCTTTTTTTGATCATGAACTCTTGGAGTGACTGGACTCAGGATGTGGATCAACTTTTTTGTTTTTTAAACACATCAATAGTTTCCCACCAAGGCAGGGTGACCGTGGATTGACTTTTGTATATTCAATAAAATTTAGTCACTGACTTGAGTTTATTTAGGTTTAGTCTTGGCTTGTAATGCTACAATTGCTGGTTGATTCCTGGCTTCAGGCTCCATCATATCTGCCACTAATTGTAAAAATGTGTATAAAATTTATTTTGACCACTGTATTCATAAAGTTTAAAAAATAATACAGGTTATTTATAGTTATACTTCCAGCATCAGCTGCTTATTTTACTTTGATCCATATTTCCATCTCACTATTTGAGACAAATAAGAATTGATAGTTGAATCTGTAATGTTGTTTACAAGGTCGCTTGTTCCTTCAGTACTCTCCATGTTTTTACCATCTTTAACAGATACATTTTTCTTACATGTTCTAATTCTTGATAAAAGTTTTATATTTGGTTTATGACTTTATTTGATTATGTAAAATACTGTTGCTGTATTTTATACTTGTTTTGCAATTGTGTCCTGTCAGTGGGGGCTCCTATTAATACATAGTGACTTCTAGGTCCAGCAAAACCATATACTTTACTGTATGTATATATACAGAGATATTTAAAATTTATCTTTCTGTGCATAACTTTTTGAATACTGGTTAACTTTTAACTTTTATTTGTCAGGAAGTTTTGCAGTTGAAAATAGCATAACATTAAGTTTTTCTAAGTCATTTTTAGTGTTCTTATATTTTTAGGCTTAAGATTTATGTAGGACATTTTTCAATGTAAGTTTTAAAGGCTTTTTTCTCCAGCAAGACTGAAGTGGTAATGTTTTGACTGGGGGGTGATTGTACTACTACTCTGACCCAGCTGGCAAGATAGGCAGGTATCTTTTAGTAGTTATGGAGGGAGGGGCATTCCCTGTTACACTGGCAATTTTAATTACTCTCATTTTCTTGGCTGTGGAACCTTTTATGACTACTGTGTGTGGTGAGCTACTGGATTCTCTTCAACCTTTTACCTCTCATCATATTTAATTTTGGTGCTCCAATCATTGTCACCCTTCGACCTTGTACCGATTCTTATATTGACCTCTTGCTTTGTTTTTTTCTTCATATCTTATTTCTTGTTCACTGATCATGAATGATCTTCACAGCAGTGACCATTTCCCTAACATCACCACTTTGTTACTTATCTAGCCTCTTCACTGCTTTCATTGGCAATGTTAATGTGCTAGCCCCACTCCATTCATGTATTATAATTATTTTTTCTCAATTCCTTTCTTACTCCTTTGCCATTATTAAGTGACTATTATTTTCATTACACTTTTTCCAACTGCTGCTGTCTCCTTTCCATGGACTTCAGGGAACATAAAATACCATACAGTACTATGAGCAAGCAAAGGCATGTCATATGACACATATGACAATGCAGTACAGGTCAACCATCACTAATCCGGCAATCAGTTATCCGGTTCCATCAGTAATCTGGCACTAATTTTGGCTAGCATAATTTCAGATTTCATCATTGTACTGCCTCAAATCATTATACTGACTCTAATTCCATCATTATACTGACTCAGAAATTGTGCAGATGGTTGTAAATCCACAGCAACAAGCCAGTGGAGGAGAAAGCAGTGATGAAAATGAGGAAGATGTAGCAGAGAGTGTCTCTATTGATAGGTTAATTAAGTGTATTCTAACCTAACTACTCTGTAATCCGGCAAACTCACTAATCCGGCACATTACATGTCCCAATGATGCCGGATTAGTGATGGCCAACCTGTAATATATCTTTGATGGGAGGGCTGTCTCCTACCTCTTTGATATTCCTTTGTGACCTGAATTTTACCCAACAAATTTTGCTGATTAAATGCTTATAGTTGTATGTATATAATTGACTGGCATAGACTTTGCACTTGCCATAGCTATATTAGTCTCTTAATTCTATCTCTTATTTTTTCCATTCCTATGTCCATTTGTGATTTTCACCATTATTATAAGTAAATACAGTAATTGCTGAACATGCTAGCAATAATATTAGGGTATTATGTTAATATTACATTTGATAATAGTGTACTGTAATCATTTCACTTAGTTATGTCTTATTTTAAAATAGTTTGCTTTCTTGGTGATGATCAACTCTTAGATGCATTTCTGCTCATTTAATTAACTGCTTTAAAAATACTCCACATTGACAGCATAATGCTAAATATTCTGCAGCATGCATACACGTGCTGCATGGAGGCTGGCATACTAGGTATGAGCAGCATAAAAATGAATATTCTGCAGCATGCATACACATGCTGCATGGAGGCTGACATACTGTGTTATGAAGATCTGCATCACCACAAACTTTTAACAAGTTCAGATCTTAGGCGACACTAGAGGAGTTTCCCCTCTGAATGATTTATTTTGTATTAAACTTTGTGGATATTAAGGATGAACTTGACATCTAACACTTGGTAAAACAAAAAAGTTTTCAGTCAGTTAAGCATGCTAAAATGTAATGTATTAATTTATACATAAATAAATAGGATTTTAAGTTTTTTCTGTAGTAAAGATGTTGAGTTGACCCTTATTGTTTGCAATACCTCGTGTCTTAGGCAGTGTTATTCTTATGCCAGCTTGTATAGTCATGACATGAGCCGTAGTCTGAGGTGCTCGTACCACCAGTTTATGTAGTTTGAAGTGCTAATACCACCAGTTTGGTGTAATCTAAGGTGCTAGTAATACTACCAGTTTGGTGTAGTTTGAAGTTCTCGTACTACCAGTTAGATGTAATCTGAGGTGCTCATACCACCAGTTTGGTGTATTCCAAGTTGCACGTTCTACCAGTTTGGTATAGTCTGAGGTGCTCATACCACCAGTTTGGTATAGCCTGAGGTGCTCACACCACCAGTTTGGTGTAGTCTGAGGAACTCACACCACTAGTTTGGTGTAGCCTGAGGTGCTCACACCACCAGTTTAGTGTAGCCTGAGTATTACTACAATTAGTGTTATCAGACTTATGCAATACCATCTTCATGTACAGTACTGCTTACACACTTATATTTGAGCAAAATCTTTTCATAGTATAAGTTGGTCTTATACTTTTGTAAGACTGCATGTGAAAATATCTTATATTGAAAACTTATTCCTCTTTGTCCCCACTTCCCTCCAAGAACACCTAGAGGAAAAAGGTGAGAATTTTTGCCCGCATTTTGGGACTTTTTGTCGTAGTGTTTAAAGTCAGTACCAAAGTCGTATAGATCTGCACATTAATTTTACAATTGCACCAGCAACCAGCAATTCAATCTAGTAATATTATAGTAAAAAAATGCTAAACCCGTGTGGGTCATACAGCATGTATGCAACAACGAATGAGTCAACTTGTGTTGCCGACCACAGGGAGACCATAATCTAACATTAAGTTAACATGATAGCATTGAAGTTCTGTATATTATTATGCATTCTTAAGGAAACTCTGAACTCGTAAGGGTCATAGACTGCTACAAATATTTTAAATTTGTTTTTTATTTTAGCAGTAGAGTAAAAGAGGTAGAGGTACCAGCATTTAAAAAATTGTTAACTTTTTGGATGCATTTTAAATTTTTAATGCTGTGCATGAAATTAAAGTTTTTTCATTTGTTAAATACACCAATAATGAGGACAAATGTATAATAAGATGTGGTAAAGTAATATTTTAAAGCATGTTATTTTCACCTTATTGCCTCACCTATTCCTGGCTTCTCTGCCTAGTGTAGCCAACACGAGCAACCTTGTATTTCCAGCAGTGGCAACACGTGAGGCAGGGTTTAAATATACTATTTTCTTTTTCAACAGTAGGTATAATTTGTCCTAGATTGAATGTTTTTAAGTTGTTATTATATTTACATCATATGTAAAATGTCACTGCAGGTAAAAATTTTTATTTTAGGTTGGATAGGGCTTCAATTAAGTTTTTGTTCTTTTTTTAATTTTATTTCTAATAGTGACATAACTGTTGAGAGAAAAGTGGGCAGGAGAGAGTACAGGTCCGGTGGCCTGGTGGTTAAAGCTCCCGCTTCACACACGGAGGGCCTGGGTTTGATTCCTGGCGGGTGGAAACATTTTGACGCATTTCCTTACATCTGTTGTCCTGTTCACCTAGCAGCAAATAGGTACCTGGGTGTTAGTCGACTGGTGTGGGTCGCATCCTGGGGGACAAGATTAAGGACCCCAATGGAAATAAGTTAGACAGTCCTCGATGACGCACTGACTTTCTTGGGTTATCCTGGGTGGCTAACCCTCCGGGGTTAAAAATCTGAAGAAAATCTTATCTCTGTCTTATCTCTTACGATGCGAAAGAGGAGGTATGGGGTAGGTTAAAAAATGCTGTGTTAGTGTGTGTAGCAGAAGTTTGTAGGTATAAGTGGGTGGGTGTAGGAGGGAAGACAAGTCATTGGTGGAGTGATGAGGTAAAAAGGATGGTAAGGGAGGAAAAAGTAGGCATATGAAATGTTTTTACAGATGGAACAGTTATGGAGAGTAAAAGAGAAGTTAAAAGAGTGGTGAAGGAGTGCAAAAGGAGAGTTAATGAGAGAGGGGGAGGCATTTTATCAACAAATTTTGCTGAGAATAAGAAAATGTTTTGGAGTGAGATAAATAAGTTGAGAAAGCTTAGGGATTACAAATGGATTTAACAGTTAAAAACAAAAAAGGGAGCCATTAGATGGCAAAATGGAGGTACTGGAAAGATGGAGGGAATATTCTGAGGAATTGCTGAATGTTGATGAAAAGAGGGAGGCAATGATTTCTTACATTTGACAGGAAGGTTTAACACCTTTAGGAGTGAGGAAGAGCCAGATGAGTGTGGGGGAGAGGTGCATGAGACAGTGGGTAGAATGAAAGTGGATAAAGCAGCTGAGATAAATGGGACTAAGACAGAAATGTTAAAAGAAGGTGGAGATATAGTTTTTCATCGGTTGGCACATTTGTTCAATATATGCTGGAAAGGGGGAAAGGTACCTAGGGATTGGCAGAGAATGTGGATAGTTGTTTTGTTTTAAGTAAATGGGGATAAAAGAGTGTGTAAGACTTAGAGGGGAATAGGGTTGTTGAGTATACCTGGTAAGGTGTGTGGGAGTTATTACTGAAAGAAGTAAGGGTATGACAGAGTAGGATTGCAGAGAAACCAGGTTTTAGGAAGGGTAGGGCATGTGTAGACCTAGTGTTTACATTGAAGCACATAATTAGATAAAGGTCAGGAGCTTTTCATTGCATTTATGGATTTAAAAAAAACATATGATATGGTGGATAAGGAAGCAGAGTGACAGATGTTGCAGATTTATGGAATACATGGCAGGTTTTTATGTGGATAGCTAGGCACAGGTTAGGTATTTAGGAGAGAGAGGGAGATTATTTTTTAGTCAAAGTAGGCCATGGGGACATTATAGATGTATGATGTCACCATGGTTGTTTATTATTTATAGATGTTCCTGTAAAAGAAGTGAATGCAGGATGTTAGGGAGAGGTGTGGGATTGAAAGATAGTGAATCAGGGGTGGAGTGGGAGTTGTTATGGTTACTTTTGTACAAGGTAAATTATGTAATTATGTACAAGGTAAAATTTCTTTTGGAAGATTCGAAATATGTAGTTGCAAAGGCTGGTAAATACGTTTGTGAGGGTATGCAAATGAAATTAAAAGTAAACATAGGAAAGAGCAAGGTGATAAGAGTATCAAAAAATATAAGCAGTGAGAGATTGGACATTGGAGGGAGTATAGAAGAAGTAAATGTGTTTAAATGTTTGGGAGTGGACTTATTGGCAGATGATTCTATGAGAGATGAGACAAACCATAGAACTGATGAAGGAAAAAAAAGAAGGGTGGTGCATTGAGGCATCTGTGGAGACAAAGAACTATCCATGGAGGTAAAAAAGGGAATATACCAGAGTATAATGGTACCATCATTTTTGTATGAGTGTGAAGCATGGGTTTTGAATGTTGCAGCGAGGAGGCTGGAGGCAGTAGAGATGTCGTGTTTGAGGGCAATGTGTGGTGTGAATATTATGCAGAGAATTCATAGTTTGGAGATTACCAGGTATGGTGTTACCAAAAAGTATTATTTAGAGGGTAGAGGATGGGTTGTTAAGGTGGTTTTGACATTTAGACAGAACGGAGAAAAATATGATGACTGGGAGAGCATATAAATCTGGGGTGGATGGAAGGAGGGGTAAGGGGTCATCCTAGTAAAGATTGGAGGGAGGGGATGAAGAAAGTTTCAAGTGGTAGCAGCTTGGGCATACAACAGGCTTGTGTGAAAGTTTTAAATGGGAGTGGAGGCAAGCAGTTTTCGTGATTTGTTATGCTGTTGGAGTGTGAACAAGGTAACATTTATCAAGGATTCAGGGAAACTGATAGGCTGACTGGAGTCCTAAAGGTGGGAAGTACAGTGCCTACACGCTGAAGGAGGTGTGGGGATATTGTAGTTTGGAGGGTCATCTGAGCTGTGATGTTGGCAAGACAGTGATTAAATGAATGGCAATGTAAGTGTTTTCTTTGCCAGGTCACCCTACCTTGGTGGGAAATGGCTGGAGTGTTAAAAACAAGAAGGCTTTATAATATAAATTAAGTAATAAATGTACATATATAGGAGGAATAAATAAAACATTTTCCCATATGGAGATTGCCAGAAGGTTCATATGAAATATATATACATGTATTGAAGACCATAAATGTGCCTTCTGAACTGTGGTATCGGTGTGCCTCTGGCAAGACAGTGATTAGTGCGAATGATGGTGAGTGTGTTTCCTCTTTTTCGAGTCACCCTGCCTTAGTGGAAGAAGGCCAGTGTATTAAAACAAATAAATGTGCTTTCACTACTGACATGAAGAGTGCTTGCCCATCTCGTTGTAACTCTCAATCATTTCATGAAGTGGAAGAATGCAAAATTAGTTATAAAACAATCTGAGTTTCATAAAAGGAGGTGTCTGGAAACGTCTAATATCGGTCACAGACAGTATTGCCCAAAATAGTGGCATCTTCAGTGTTTTGAGGCAGAGTATTAGCAAGAATCATCACTTATTATATAACTTATTTTATACTTTGTTAAATTATATTTTACTTTAAACTCAGTAACCTCATGTTTTGTCACCTGCAATATCACCTTACCTTCTTGCTGTAAATACACTGTACCTGTTGTTCTGTCCTGGTATGTACTGTGGGGCTTGCCACAGCTTCCGGCATGCAAAATACGTAAATTAAATATTCACACGTTGCACACATATCCATTGAGGTTATCATTCACAAGCTACAGACTTCTTTTTCCTATTTAAAACATCAATGCTTGACTGACCAATAGGTCTGGTCTAAGACTGGACTATGGGGGCAGTGGCCCCTGGGACCATTGCAGGTAGACCCAATAGTAGGATGACAACATTACTTTCTTGTAGTATGTTGGCTCGAGAGTGAGTGCAGATAACAGTATTAGATGTTCACTTTAGTCAGTTATTAGTTTTTGTAAAAATCTTATTGCTTGTGTCATATTTTAATTGTATGTACAAGAATACTATCAGTCTTATTGATGTGTGTAATGTTTTGCAGTAGCCATTCCCTGCGAACAACGTGGGAGAGGTACATGAACACCATGCGAGGATGCATCTGTCAGTTGTATCATTCTTGACGTCACGCCCCACCGCTGCGACTCACACGCACAGCAACCGTTCAAGAAAAAGTGCCGTCTGATTGACCATCACTGTGGAAAGGTACGTTTTTAAAGACATTACTATAGAGTACCAGCACTGTCTGACCCTAGTGGGTTCAGCGCTTGGTTCTGATTATAATAATAATAATAATACTGTAGAGTACATATATCAGAAACAGCTGGCAGACTTTGTGTTGCAGAGGTTTGAGCTCTGCTCAGACCTCTGCAACACAATTGTCCTCAAAGATTTGTTATATTATACCATGAATTAAGGAAAGATCCTGGACTTCACCTTACAAAACAGACAAAGCAAACATGATAATAATTATGTACAAGGTAAAATATAGTAGAAAAATAAACATGTTATAAGATGGGGAAACTTATGTGCCCCTTAATGCCATACATATTACTGTACTGCTCACTTCACATCATTAAATACTGGACTGTTATGCTGGTGCTGACCTAAATCTTCCTAGATAATTATAACCAAACACACAGGCATCCTACCTGCCATCTTTCTTGAAACAAATACCCCTTTTGAAAGTTTGTGTGTTTGGCTGAATCACTGCAGAAAATGTGCAAATAAAAGGGCCAAAAATGAAGAATAGCTACCAAATGGTTTTAAGAATTGTAATTTTTTTTTTTTTTTCCAACAAGTCGGTCGTCTCCCACCGAGGCAGGGTGACCCAAAAAGAAAGAAAATCCCCAAAAAGAAAATACTTTCATCATCATTCAACACTTTCACCACACTCACACATAATCACTGTTTTTGCAGAGGTGCTCAGAATACAACAGTTTAGAAGCATATACGTATAAAGATACACAACATATCCCTCCAAACTGCCAATATCCCAAACCCTTCCTTTAAAGTGCAGGCATTGTACTTCCCATTTCCAGGACTCAAGTCCGACTATATGAATTATGAACTTGAAATGTATGTTTAATTAGTTCAATTATATTTACTCTGTGTATCTCCCTGAAGCAAATTATTTTAAGTTCAAAAACTCCCATTCTATACTCTAACTTTTTAGTTAAAATTTTTATTATTAAATATGGAATTTGACACTATGGTAGTCTGTTGGAATTTCAAAACTACCATTCAACCTTTTCTACCTTGTCAATTAAAATTTTAATTTTAGTGAGTAATATATTGTAATTTATAATTTTACTATGATTTTTAACTACTGTATCTTGAATACTTTTTACTAGACTTACAAACACGAAATCTGCATCTGTGTTAACTTTTTGCTTCAATTGTTATTTTTATAACAGAGCACTAAATTTTTAGTTCACTATTAACTGTTAACTGTCCAAACGTAGATCTACATTCTCTCGCCCAGCGCACCAAATCTTTTGATAAATTTTTTTTATAGAAATAAAGAGTTGATTTTTCTACGTGTCATAGTATAAAAAAAATTTTAGTGTCAGTACTTGCCGAGATATGAGCCCGTGAAGTTGGCACTTGATGCTCATCTGATGGCATTGAGTCCTGCCGATATACCTTTTTATCTTGTTTTTATATTATTTTATATAATTTTTATGTTCTGATAATTACAATTTATAGTAGTTCTTGTGATTTGATAGTCAATCTTTGTTCTGACACTAATATTAGGTACTGAAATAGTACTCAAATAATCACAAACACAGTGACAGGTGAACATTTTTACCTACCTTAGTCACGTACTATTGTCTAGAAATACGTATATACATAGCATTTATAGGTCCCAGCAATGTTTTGGATACACGGAAGTATATAATAATAATAATAATAATAATAATAATAAGTTCCCTTGAAGCATGATGTAAGAGTGTGTCACTCATCTTATCACTCCACTGCTGACAATGGTGATATTTGATGAGCTTATCACCTCACTAATGACAGTGGTGACATTTGATGAGCATTGTCTTATCTCTTCACTCCACTAATGACAGTGGTGACATTTGATGAGCCTTCGCTTTATTTTGCTCATGAACCAACTGGTATTACACACGATCACTATCTACAAGCACAGTATAGCACTTTGGTCTGGATTTTTGGGGTTAGCCTAGGTAATTTACACTATGTATAATTGTATTTACATATGTGTTCCTGTGAGATAGAGACAAAGAGATAGATAGGTGGAGATAGAGACAGCCAATCAGCCAGCCACCGAAATTACAGTTACAGAATTTTTTCTTTTTATTTAGGGCATAGGTTGTAGGACATTCTGGCAGGATGACACTCTCCTCTTAAAAGGGGAGTGTTAATATGACATGATATCAGTGAATCTTTGGTGTTTGCTGTGCTGTTTGCTCTAGCTAGTGCTCAATTGAACTGGTGCTCCCAGAAGGTACTAAGTGGTCCCAGATTTTTTTAATACTGCACACACTGAGGGTTAAGACCCATTCTGTGCTGATCAAGCATCTTAGGCCAGTCATGCCAAATTTGGAGGCAGGGAAAATAAAACGTAGATCTATGTTTGAAGCGCTAGCAGCAAGAACGTAGATGTACCTTTGGACAGGTAATGGGTTAATCAGTTTTAATCCTTGCCCTAAATGCTGTGCACACTACACTTTTCAATTTATACTGCATTCATGTATGTTTTGAAAAAAATTTTTGATTTAGATTGTTGTAATAGTTTCACAAATTTATTATGCCATATACACATCCTGTGGGAGGTAGTTACCCCCATAGCCACTATGGGATGGGATGTTGTCACCCCATATCCATCACGTGTGTGGTGGCTACTCCATTCCCATCCTATGGGTAGTAGTCACCACATTCCCATCCTGTGGGTAGCAGTCACCCCATTCTCATCCCATGGATAGTAGTTACCCTATTCGCATCCTGTGGGAGTAAGGATTGGGCCCCAGGCAAGCAAATTAAAGAAATAAAATATTTTAACACTGGTTATTTCCCACTTATGCAGGTTTATCTGAAAAAGCTGATGTACTTGCATTGTCACTCAATCACTGTTTTGCCAGAATCATTCTGGCATCACAGTCAGATGGCCCTCTGAACTGCAGCATTGCCATCCCTTATACCAAGTGCAGGCACTGTACTTTCCATCTCCAGGATTCAAGTCCAGCTAACGAGTTTCTTCTGAATCCCTTTTAAATGTTACCTTGCTCATACTCCAACATTGTATGGCCCTGGTGGTTTAGTGGTTAGTTTAGATTTTAATAATAATCACACTTCAACAGCATATCACCATAAAAACCACTTTTTGCCACTCATATCTAACATGCTCACACTTGGAAGTGGTCATGTGCAACATTGTGTGTGTTTGTACACCTTTGAATGTAGGCAGTATTTTTTTTTAAGTAATGATATTAGTAGAATTACCAATAGTATGTTAAGTAAAAGGACACACGTGCAAATGTCACATTAGTTGCACATGTATTTTTTTACCTGAATTTCTTTGTTACTCAAATTTAACAACCAACATTATGTGACCCCTATATTTAGTGAGTGACCAGTTTTGTGTGACTTATGTCTTTGATGACCAGTGTTATGCAACACCAATATTGGTGGTGGTGTATGGAGTGATGTAATAATAAAATAATGCATAACTACAGCTGAATGTTACACTACTACAACTCATGTTTGCTCAGCTATATCCTTCATAAAACAATATTAACAGCCCTAGCAGTACACTACCTGCTGTTCCTATATAAATGTAGAATAGAGAGGGTAGTATATACAGTACATCTCAAGGAATAAATGTAGATTATCAAGAAACATCAGATTGGCAGTTGCTGAAATAGATTAAAGATGCAGGTGCTGGCAGTAGTATTGCAAGACAATCTTGGTAACTCTGCTGCTCTTCCCACAGGTCGGCGGCATGCAAGTTTAGATTAGTAGCAGATCTGAAACTCTGGGTTCAACCACCAATATAATTTCATACCGTGGCCTCAAGAGAATTGAAAGAATAGTGTAAGAAGCTTATTTCCCTAAAAATCTTAAGATAAAATCAGTCAGTTATATTTTTGGAAATATTACTGGTCATTATTTAGGAGGGTATGTCTGTACTTGAGAAATTTTTCTTAATGTGTATTTAAATCATACATAGTCATCCTTCCAATGCTGTATTATATCATGAAGTTAGAAATAACATATTACACTGTCTGGTAATGTTAATCTTATTTGTTAGCAAGTTTTTCTTACTTCACCGAGGCATATGAAGACTCAACTCTGGACTTGGAGTAAATGTGTCTACTGAGCATGTTTGTGCTTAAGTTGCAATTATAATTCTGAGTAAATACTGTAAAATATTGTAATGAAATGGAACTGTGATCCTGAGTACACATTACTGTAATAATATAATCAGTTTAAGCACCAAACCCATAAAGGTCACAGCTCTGCTGGGAGGGATGTGCAGAGGTAGAATGTGTCAAGGTTAGGGGCTAGTGGAGGTGGGAGGTTAGTGCTACAGGAAAACAGATTTAAGTTGGTGCAATAGGTTAGTTTATTAAAGCCAGTCTGCATCAGAGGAAGGGTTTTCAGTGAGGAGCGTGTTACTGTAATAAGTTTGAATTTGTTGCTATGGAATTAAAAGGTGCATGTTTATTCCTGTGACAGTAGCTCTGTTCAGCCAGATGGGCATTGACCATCTTCAACTAGTCTTGATTTGACCACAGATGTAGAAAAATCTAGTAGATGGGAAAGGAGCTAGATTTGTCTTGCAATGATGACTATCCTGAGCCAATTTGCATAGAACAACATTAGACTATATGTATATATGTATTAAAGTAAAAGTGTATATAGCACATAATGAAAATTTATGTCTAAAGGGAATGAAATCTTATACCACTCTTGCAAAAGAATACAGAGGTATTAAAGCTAGTCTATTTTGAAAAGAAGTTTTAAACAATTTTTATTCAAATGTGTATATAATATAGGAATTTGTATGCATAAAAACATAGTATAACAGAATTATGGGATATTGTGACATTTTCTTGGGAGTTTGGAGAGTAAAGCACGCTTGTCTGCATGGAAACTTTCTAAAAGTGCCAAGTAGTTATTGGTGACAAATTGTAAATATTAACTTTCACATGCTATTTACATTACAAGGCGATATCCAGAACATATCTTTCAGTGTATTTATGTAATGGTTTAATGTCTGTGGTACTTTTTCAACACTGAATATTCTTTGAATATAAACTATAAATGTGTGTGATATTTTATAATAATTTATAAAACAGTTCTGCCATTATTAACAAGGTTATGTTGTATTTTAGGGATTATATATAATATACACTACTATGAAACTACTGCTCTGTATGTTAACATTTATGCTCCAGATATTTATAAAATACATACTCTCCTAGTGATAAATGCGTAAGTTACAAACAGTGGTGCTTAGAATAAAAAATTGTACCTGAAATTATGTACCTAATAACAAAAATGTTTGATGGATATTAGATATGAACTATACAAAAAGCAAATGAGTAACAAGCAAAGTACTGTATTCTTATTACTAATATTTGAAGGTATCTGTGGTCAATTCTGTTATTTTATGACTTGCCTTCCAAAAATACTTAATAAATATTTGGTGTATCAATGCTGATCTGCAGTACCAAATGTCTGGACCTGAATTCTTTATGCTATATTAGTCTTATGGGAAAACAGGTTCCAAGTTCCAAATAACTGGTTTGTAAATATTAAAATGGTATACAATACCAACAGGTTGGTAGGCAAGACATATGAGCAACAGTTAGGCAACTTTATTCCGAAACGTTTCACCTATGTAGGTGAAACGTTTCAGAATAAAGTTGCCTAACTGTTGCCCATGTGTCTTACCTACCACCTGGTTTGTAAGCCAAAACTTGAAAGGTTTAACTTGTTGGTTAGGTGTTTTGTTTTCTTTGTAGTGTTGCTTCAAGCTTTAACTCGGATATCCAACAAATGACTGAAAGGTTGTGGGAGTTCTTTGAAAATTAAATTTTAGAAATGAATGTGGGTGCATAACGTACCCTGAATTTTACACGTATACACTTCTGTTCAATGACCACAACATACTGACAGTATGTATTGGTTGTAAAAGGTTTGGCGATTCAAACAAACTGAAAAGGACACATGTAGAGTTCAGGACATTTATTAAAGGAAACGCTTTGCCAGAGGTGACTTCTTTAGTCCTAATACAGAGCAAACTAAAACAAGTTAATATATAATGAAGTTTAGTGAAGCACAACTAGTCATCCATGAAAACAACAGACAGGTGGAAGTTGCTGGAAGCTGTGTTAATTACCACAACTGACACTATCCTGCAAAGGTCTGGAAGCTTCAGTGTTTCCAAATTTTTGGCTAAAAGTCTTATTCAGTGTGTTCATGTGATGGTGAATCTATGCATGGAGAAGCTATGCAGCTGGCATATTGGCCCATGCTAAACAGTTCCTGCTCAAATCCAACCACTCACTTATATATTTGTCTAACAAATTTTCTGCAATTTGACATACTCCTGCCTCGCCTCACCTCACTTTTGATTCAGGTCACTGCACTGTTTACCCTATATTAGCCTGTTTTAGCAAATTCTGTATTGGAACTGAAGAAGCCACTCATGGCAAAACATTTCCTTTATTAAATGTCCTGAGCTGTAAATGTGCCATTTTTATACAACAGTGTGCATTGCATTCACTTCTGCCAATTATGAAGTTCAGTTTTAAGCATGGCTTCAGTCATATATGTACTATCTTACCTTTCTCTCTCTCTCTCTCTCTCTCTCTCTCTCTCTCTCTCTCTCTCTCTCTAGTGTTAAGATACCATGCACAGCATAGTATGATTACAGCACTGAAAGAATCACATGGCTTAAACACTTTGATGATAATCCTTCAGATTAAAAAAAAAAAAAAAATTCCATAGACTAAGCCCATGTGGGTCATTCAGCAATATAAGCATCTTAAACATCTGTATTCATGAGCCTATGGATAGGTACAAATTTATCCAAGGCTTAACATTTTTTTGGCAACTTGCATTGTGCACTGTTAACAAACCTGATAATAGATTATAACTAAATAATATAAAGGGTAATAAAAATATAATACAAATACTCCCCACATTACAAACTTCTTACAGTCCTATGTGCAACTTAAGAAATGTTGATCAGTAAGCATATTATAAATGCCAGTGTGCAGTTCTGACCATAAAAGTTTCAAGCTGAACAAGTAAAATTCTCAAGACATTACTTCTTAAGATTTTTTTTTTTTTTTTTATTAACACACTGGCCGATTCCCACCAAGGTAGGGTGGCACGAAAAATAAAAACATCATTCACTCCATCACTGTCTTGCCAGAGGGGTGCCTTACACTACAGTTATAAAACTGCAACATTAACACCCCTCCTTCAGAGTGCAGACACTGTACTTCCCATCTCCAGGACTTGTGTCCAGCCTGCTGGTTTCCCTGAATCTCTTCATAAGAAGTAATGTCTTAGCATGAATTAGCACAAGGCAGACCAATACTGTATACCAGCACCATCATAATTATTCTAACATTAACATTTCAATCATTGTGTTCTGAAACTGACCTGCAGGAAACATCATCCTTTATATTAATTTTGTAGGAAAATAGGTTCAGAGTTCCAAATGAGCAAGTTATCAACTTTATTACTGATCATCTTACCAAGGTTAAGTCTTGTATCAAAATATAGTTAACCTCAGGCTTTTCTCTAACAATAATCTTCTCTATTTATTTAAAAAAAAATATATACATACTGTACACTGATTATTTACAAGGTAAAGATTTTTATTTGAGACATTATACTTTTATAACTATCTTTTAAAGGTGAAATGTAAAGTCATACAGGAACAACCAAATTCAACATTAATGTTTATTTAAATAATTTTTTTTTTTTTTTTTTTTTTTTCCAACAAGTCGGTCGTCTCCCACTGAGGCAGGGTGACCCAAAAAAAAGAAAGAAAATCCCCAAAAAGAAAATACTTTCATCATCATTCAACACTTTCACCACACGCACACATTATCACTGCTTTTGTAGAGGTGCTCAGAATACAACAGCTTAGAAGCATATACATATAAAGATACACAACATATCCCTCCAAACTGCCAATATCCCAAACCCCTCCTTTAAAGTGCAGGCATTGTACTTCCCATTTCCAGGACTCAAGTCCAACTATATGAAAATAACCGGTTTCCCTGAATCCCTTCACTAAATATTACCCTGCTCACACTCCAACAGATCGTCAGGTCCCAAGTATCATTCATCTCCCTTCACTCCTATCTAACACGCTCATGCACGCTTGCTGGAAGTCCAAGCCCCTCGCCCACAAAACCTCCTTTACCCCCTCTTTCCAACCCTTTCAAGGACGACCCCTACCCCTCTTTCCTTTCCCTATAGATTTATATGCTTTCCATGTCATTCTACTTTGATCCATTCTCTCTAAATGACCAAACCACCTCAACAACCCCTCTTCTGCCCTCTGACTAATGCTTTTATTAACTCCACACCTTCTCCTAATTTCCACACTTCGAATTTTCTGCATAATATTTACACCACACATTGCCCTTAGACAGGACATCTCCACTGCCTCCAACCGTCTCCTCGCTGCTGCATTTACCACCCAAGCTTCACATCCATATAAGAGTGTTGGTACTACTATACTTTCATACATTCCCTTCTTTGCCTTCATAGATAACGTTTTTTGACTCCACATATACCTCAACGCACCACTCACCTTTTTTCCCTCATCAATTCTATGATTAACCTCATCCTTCATAAATCCATCCGCCGACACGTCAACTCCCAAGTATCTGAAAACATTCACTTCTTCCATACTCCTCCTCCCCAATTTGATATCCAATTTTTCTTTATCTAAATCATTTG